GACAGCAATTGAGTATGCAGCGATTTTCAGTTTCCCTCAGACTCTTAGAAATCGCTGCTATCTCATGCACAGAGGTAGGTGGGTGAATAGGCAACAAACGGTTTGGGTTAGAACAGTTTCTTTGGGGTCAGGGGTCAGACAGACAGTTAGTCCAGTAAAATCATTCACAGGATTTCCTTTTACCGACCCTGCACCACACTGGAGTTAGTAGACACAATCCACTACTCTTTCAGAGAAACACTAGATTTCCAAGGCCCACTAGAAAGCAAGAGCAGTCGGTGAGAATGATAGAACATGGCAAGTACAGACTAGAATGATCAAACAAGCAGAGCGATTCAGTCAGAGACCCTGAATCCTAGCCCAGACTCCAATTTCGACCCTGACGACTCTGGCAGCCATACCCTAGGGTATGGCGAAGTACAATATTCACTGTTTCCAGTGGAATACAACAAATCCAATCAAGTGCTTCTGCAATATTGCCTATTTTTGGATTGCGATTGACTGACAACTGACAGAATTGAATTCCCACGGACGGAATTGAAGTTATGTCTGACCCTAGCTAGCACAGGCTATAATTAGACTTAGCGCAAAACTACAATTCACTGTATCTCTACTTTTCCAGTACAGAATTTACAATCTGAGCATCCCAGATCAATCGCAATACAGTCAGGCAGTCACAGAACAATTTTGGATGAGGAAGAGTCAACAGAGGGTAAGAAATGAGCAGAGGAAGGTAGGAGAAGGATGAGTATGGTTGTCATGCAGTCTACGATTTTCAATTCTAGTCACAGACAGACAGATAGACCATGAATACTAATCAATCTAACCCTATCTGAATCGCTATACAGGTATGTGCATGGAACGGACTCACTTTCAGAGTTTCTTGCAGAGTCGAGTGAAGATCTGGCTATGGCAGACTAAAACCCTCATCTCGCCAATTCCAGCCAGAGATTCCTCCTCTCTGTTCCACGCACAGAATCACTTCAAACTTGTTGATCTTCTTCAGTATCCTGAAGCGCTACAACCCTTTTTGTCAGATTCCCTGAATCTGACCCTGTGGCACTCAGAAGCCAACAGGAAGTTATCTCGCCATAGGAACCCTCAGCCGCTGATGCTATAAATAGCCCCAGATGGGGTTATTTTCACCTGCGATTGACATAGACTGTCAATCACCCTCAGCGCTGCTCAGGGATGAAGCCGCTCAGTGACCCCTGAAGTCCTCAGGGGTAATTCGCCACTCTGAGGCAATTCACTATCCCGCCCTCAGGGTTGGCTATGGCGAATTAGCCCTGTTCTCGCCACTTCCTGACAAGCGCCCTGACAGGCTCAGTGCGCTTGCTCAGCGCAGACACTGAACTCGTGATTTCACCGCTTTAGATCTTCTTCCCTGCTGACTCAGTATCGGGGAAGATGAATCGCCTTGAATATCTCGCCAGTATATCGCCAGATGAAGAAGATGCCCCTTTGCACTCAACCCTCAGTGCTCCAATTCCAATCCCGCTCCGATACCAACTGTTATGAACTTGGTTGTCTGACGAGTTTCAACGCCACTCACACACAGACACTCTCATACACGCCCATACATGCATAAGACGAAGGGGAGAGGAGACCCGTCAGACCATTGCTCGTCTTCTGCCTCAGTACCCGACTTATGGACCCATAGTCAGGAATCTGCAAGCGGATCCCAACTCTGAACCCGACTATACCCTGAGTTCAGATTTGTTGTATACCTACAGCAGAGGTGAGGAGCGCTTGTGCATTCCCCAGGATCAGCGACTCAGGACACTGCTGATGTCAGAGTGTCATGATGCACGTGGACACTTTGGGTTCTTAAAGTCATATGCAGCCCTGTCGCAGCGCTTCTTCTGGAAGGAGATGCGGAGTGATATGTTGCGCTATGTGGAAACCTGTGAGCTTTGCCAGAGGAACAAAGTCCAGCGTAGGCCTCCTCTGGGACTACTCAAACCCTTACCCATACCTGATGGCCCTGCTGAATCTGTGTCGATTGACTTTATAGATTTAGGCAAGACCACCCCTCGTGGCATGCGTCAGGTTATGTTCTGCGTGGATAGGTTCTCCAAATACGCAGAGTTCATCCCCTTGCCAGAGGTAGCCAGAGTCCCGGCTGTGAGAGCAGCCTTTTTAGAGAGGTGGGTCACACACCATGGACCGCCCACTTCTATAGTCAGTGATAGAGACCCCCGATTTTGCAGCGATGAGTGCCAGTCCTACTGTAAGGACTACCTGCACTCACTATTGGACATGACTTCTGGTCATCATCCTGAACCCAATGGTCAAGCTGAGGTGATGAACCAAGTCTTATTCCAATTGTTGCGTCCTATCATCTCTCCAGATCAGCAGGACTGGGATCTCCACTTGGCTCGGGCACAACTTGTTTATAACATGTTTGTCCATTCCTCGATTGGGTTCAGTCCATACCGGTTGCATTGGGGACGTGAGCCACGACAACCTCTCGATGATATCATCGATAAGGCTAAGTCAGACCTGACACCAGGCACCGCAGAGTTCACCAGACGCTACCGCATAGATGTGGCAAGAGCACGGGCGAACTTGTTCAAAGCCCAAAAGGCAATGATTGAACAAGCTAATCGCCATAGGCGGCCTTCCCCCATCCGCACTGGTGATTATGTCTGGGTAGCCAGTTCTGAGTTGTCGAGGGAGGAGGATATCTCCCCCAAGTTGTTGCCTCGTTATTTGGGTCCATGGCAGGTCCTAGATACAGTGGGCGCTGATCCATTTGGTCCATCCTATGTCATTGACGTCCGCATCTACGAATCTACCCAGTCTTCCATGCATCTAAGCTGCTCCCATTCACCCCAGCTGATGCATTCCCAGACCGGCCCCCTCAATTTGGTCCACCGATCCCTGGCAAGGGATATGATGTGGAATGGATTGAGGATGAGTGGGGCACAGGTCCCGATCGACAATATCTTGTGAGGTTCGCGTTCCAGCCTCCTTCTGAGAACAGATGGTTCTACAGAAGGGAACTTCTCAAGACAACAAAGTCAGTTGTTCTGCGATATCAAGCGCCTCGGAAGGGCAACCTTCCTCGCCGTTCACCTCGCCTGCATCCCCAACTCGGAGGTCCTCGCTCCCCGGGGGGGTAAGCCTGCAATGACTTGCTGGTTTCAACTGCCGAGACTGACTGCGAGGCTGTACAGTGTACTGTGTGCTTTGCTGTGTTTTTTTGTTTGCACTGAGGGCCGCCCGCTGTTCTAAAAATAGCCTGAATTAACAGCAGTAGGGGCTGAGTGGTTACCGGCCCTAAGTGGCCTTGAGCCCTAAGTGCAGTAGTAGGACCGATTTCGTAGAGGCCGAGTAGGCCCTAACTGAAACGGTACCGGTAGGTCCTAGGCTAGGCTAGGGTAGAATCGACAAGTAGGTTGGGGTAGGACTGTTGGGGACTTTTGGCTGTTCATTTTTCGGAAAGCAGCGTTTGGAGAAGCCAAGCAAGTTGGCGGTGGCAATTGTCTCCAGGCGGCATCCTGAGACCCTTGCTGCGGACAGCAGCCATAGCCCTTCTGAAGGTTGTCAAAGTTGGGACATCCTCAGCGCATCTACCCTGGGGGTATCTGCGTCTGGCCAGGCTATCTCGAGGCTCTCCACTGAGT